GCCTGTGACACTTGTCATGAACTATCTCAGCCAAAGATTGCCAGACCTCGTCACCTCCATGAGGCCAGGGAGTTCAATGACCTTGTTCAGTTTGACAATGGAGAATGGACGGACCCAAACGGAAAACGATACTTCTTTTTCCACTTTGTGGATACTGCATCAAACTTCCATGTGGCCATCCCCTATGTCACCAAGACGACAGAGGGTTTGATCCATTGTTTTCAAACAGCGTGGTTGTCGTGGGCTGGGCCGCCAAAGGCCCTAATGTTTGACAGTGCCACAGAAGCCAACAGCGAGGGGTTTGCGCAATTTTTGCAGGAACATGACATCAAGAGCCATGTCATTCCGACCGACGCTCATTGGCAGCTTGGAAGAGCAGAACGACATGGAGCCATCATCCAGAACATGTTGAACAAAATGTATAGCGATAGACCGTTCTCATCACAAAAGGAATTCGAATCCATACTAGTTCAAATTACACCTGAAATACTCGTACTTGGGAAAAGTCGCCGACTCCCAGGCAGCGTGGTGGATGAGACAGAACATGGCTCAAATATAACTGCACTTCAAACTGAAGCTGCTCAATTCCGAGACCAGCTGGAAATTCGTGAGGCTGCCCGCAGAGCTTTTGTCCGAGCAGACAACTGCAGTGAACTGAGACGTGCCCTGCATGGTCGTTCCAGACCAAATCGATGCCTTCACCAGGTAGGAGACTGGGTGATGTATTGGAAGAATAATCGCTGGCAAGGTCCGGCAAAGGTCTTAATGGTTGATGTCCCTAGCGTCCTCTGGTTGAGCCACTTCATTCGGTGTGCGCCGGAACATGTTCGAGCCCTATCCACACGAGAATATGGATCCCTAAAATCTCAAGACCAGAGCGACAAAGATGACCTTCGACCTGGAGCCGGAGTCTTCCAATATCATCAACTGACAGAGACTCCAAACAGCACGACGCTGAGTTCGAGCTCAGCATCCTCCAGACCATCAGATCCAGAGGGTATCGTAATCCCAAGTGCACCACCTCCCAGTGGACCTAGCATTGAAACCAATCTTGAACCAGGTGATGTTCACACGCCGGACATGACCGGAATTCCGAATAGTGTTCACTCAGAGCTGCAGCCTGACGCCGAGCCCGAGAACGCACCAAGCGTTCCTTCCCAGGCCGTGAGTGTGGGTAATCCTGACGAACTAATAGACCCCAGCAATGTTCCCATCCCCATAGAAGAAGATGATGAACTAGTTGCCCAAGACCAAGTCGAAGATTTTTGGGAAGCCAGAGAACACTGTTTGATCCGGCATCATGTCAAACCACGTCTTCAACTTATCGTCCCATCCAACTGTTTTCGATGTCCGTGGCCCCTCAAAGACCTAGGTACTCGAATCACCCAAGGATAATATAGAGATGGAAATGTTTTGGACATGAAAGACCAATGGTTCAACAGGATTGAGGCCCATCGGAGCATGCCAGAAATCTGGACTGGGAAAACCATATTCCTCAAAGATCTCAGAACTCCACCTGATGATGGCCCAGTGCAGCAACAAGCAGAACAAACATGCCATGTAGAAGCAGAGAATGAACAATTCTGTTTCAAGGTGAAATCGCCTTCAGCGCCGAAGAACTTCAACAGTGTTGTTCCAAACAATATGCAGATCAAGTAGCCTTCTTAGCTTCGCAGGCCAAAAGACAGAAAGTAGAAGTGAAGATGCAAGACCTAAAGGGTAATCAACTGCAAGAAATGCTTGAAGCAAAAGGAAAAGAAGTAGACCAATGGTTCGCTACTGAAACAGTTAGACGAATTGCTAGGAACCGAATACCCGAAGAGCAGATCCTCCGCACCAGATGGGTTCTAACATGGAAACCCCTTGACCCTCAGGAACAGATCGCCACCGGACGAGACAAAAAGGCCAAGGCGAGGTTGGTCATCCTTGGATTTGAAGATCCGGCCATCGAGACACTCGAACGGGATGCACCCACCCTTGGTCGGGACAGTCGGTCCCTCATACTGCAAGTCCTGGCCAGTAGCAAATGGGAATTGAACTCATTTGACATCAAGACCGCTTTCTTGCGGGGCAGTCGCCAAGACAACCGGGCGCTCGGGATTGAACCACCTCCGGAAATGCGGAGCAAGATGAAGCTTCGGGAGCATGAAGTGTGTGAATTGTTGAAATCAGCCTATGGCCTAATCAACGCTCCAATATTGTGGTATCATGAGTTGAAAGGAAAATTGTTGTCCTTAGGCTTCCAAATGTCTCCCATGGACCCCTGTGTGTTTGTGTTGCCCAAGAAGTCTGATCACCAAAATCCTGCCGAACACTCAACAGGCATACATGGTATACTTGGAATCCACGTCGATGACGGGATCGGGGGTGGTGACACTGTGTTTCACGCCCAGCTGAAGAAACTAGAAGCCAAGTATCCATTCGGAAGCCACAGAAAAAGAGACATGACTTTCACAGGCCTTCACATTCGACAAGAAGCTAATCATGAAATTTTTGTTGACCAAAAAGAATATATACAAGATATATCTAGCATCCAGGTCACCAGAGATCGTCGAAGTGATATGAAAGCAACAGTGACTCCCAATGAGCTGCAAGCTCTTCGAGGCCTAATAGGAAGCCTACAATATGCTGCATCTAATACCCGACCTGATCTCTCGTGCAAACTTAGTTTGCTACAAGCTCGGATTCCAGTTGCTACAGTTCAAGACCTTCTAACTGGAAATAAATTGCTTCATGAAGCTAAGAGATATGCCGACGTCTTTGTAAGATATAGACCAATACCAATCTCACAGATTCGATTCGTTTCCTTTTCAGATGCCGCCTTTGCATCCAGAGAGAGGACACATTCACAAAAAGGGTGTTTGATCCTCACGACCAATGAACAGATTGATCAGGACATCGCAGCGCCCACCAGTCCATTGGCCTGGTATTCAAAAAAGATCTTTCGAGTTGTTGGTAGCGCACTAGCTTCCGAGACATATGCTTTGTCTGGAGCACTCGACCTTTTGAGCTGGACACGCCTTCACTGGGCATGGATGGTGTCGCCGACACTCAAATGGCAACAACCCGACCAAGCATTGGCTACACTGCCTAAGGCATATGCCATTGTAGACTGTAAATCATTGTATGACCTCTTGCAAAAGACATCCATCCCCCAATGTGCTGAATATCGAACTATGCTTGAGGCCCTCATCATTAAGGATAGGCTTACTGAAGGAGTGATTGTAAAATGGGTTCACTCAGCCGCTCAGCTTGCTGATGCCTTAACGAAAGATATGGATACAACAGCCCTCAGAATCTTTTTGGATAAAGGAGTATGTAGAGTACATGATATCGACGTGATCCTCCGCCAACGAGCAGACAAGAAGATTCGTAATCAGTGGATCGCAGAAGCATCTCAGTCATAAAAACAATTAGGAAAGAGAATTTTTTAGGCGTGTGAATTCTGTCTTGCACCTTGGAACTTGCATGAAGGTTTGTCCACCGTCCGCTCGGTCTGGCCCAAAGTCACGGGGCTCAGGACGCGCCTGGCGGCACCGCCATGCTTGTGGAGTGAGGACACTCCCACGGTTCGGTTGCAGGAGTGAGGACACTCCCATGGTTCGCACTACTGGTGAGGACACCAGATCGAGACCAAGGCCAGAGAAGAGGAAAAGCCGGCGCTGGGGAGCGCGAGTGGTTTGGGGAAACGGTGTGGTCACCGTTGAGTCGCTACCAGTGTGGATCCACCTTCAATTCCACAATACATATATACATATATACATACTGTATTAATTATAAAGTGGCCTATACAACATCCTTTCACCTTCACACCACTTGATTCATCTCATGTCTCTCCATTTCTTGCTGTTCATTTCATGCCTTGTCAGCCCTTTACTGTAGCTTGCCAGGTGTCGGCATCAGCTGTGCATGCTGCTTTGCTGCGTGCCGCAACGCGACCAGAGGAGGGAATCAATCAACTGAAGAGTGTCATACCTTGCCTTCTTCATCCTCCTTCTCATTCTTCTTCTGGCTTTGTCAAACCTGGCCAGGTCGTCTCCAGCATTGTTGGTCTTGCAGCTGCCTTTGAGACTACAAGCGTTCACTCTAAGTCATGTTGGCAAGAAGTCGTGTGCACCGTGCGAGTGTGCAGTGTTTTGGATGCCTTCCAGTGTTGAATCTTCTGGTTCAAAAGTTGTTTAGCCCACCAGTGTTCCCAGCACAATTATTCGCTCCGCCTGCTTTGGAACAACAAGTGCTGGCTGGTGCTAGCGAAGGCTGCGAGCAACGCACAAATTTAAAGTTAAGTGCCTGTGCTGCGCGCAGATCTACTCTGCCAAGATGCGTAATAATGCCTGCCCTTTTGGGATTTGCTGATGCATGGCCCTTTTCAGCTGATGTGCTCTACCGCAACAAAGGCTGCGTTGCAGATGCTATAGGCTGTGTCACTGCCGTGGCTTTGTGGACTGTTTGCAGTCAAAATGTTCTGACAACATGCAGATGCGCTACTGCTCGCATATGCCTCTTTGCTTTCCCCCAACTTTGACACAATGAAAAGAAACCCATGTACAAGTAAGTGGGGTTTGATGTTTTTGATGTGATTTTCCTCTAAGCCCTGACAGATCAGAGAATCAACTGAGGTCGCAAGTGATTTGCACAGGCAACTAGAAGCTGAAGACAAAGAGAAATATGTTGGCCGCTTGCGAGTGATTGATTACCTTTGCCCACCCAGTTGCATGAGTTAGTCGTGAGTTATATATATATTATATAACAATTTGTGGATTTGGAGCCTGCCAGCAGACATCAAACACTTAGCGCGAAGGAGCTTCATTTGAAAGAGGCATGCGCAGCCCACATGCGTAGGTTACAATTTTGGTTTCCATACTAGGAGAATGCATCACCATTCTGATTTGCCGTTCACCATGCTCCATGCTTAGCAGCACCACACAAAGACTCAAAGAAACCAACATTAAGATGAACCAACTAACTAACAACAGGCTTTGTGACAGCAGAGTGGAGCCATGTATTCTGGGCCGTGACCTCAGATAACTGCAGCAATTATTAATTCAAGCGCAACCAAACGTTCTTTTGAGCCATTGCCACTTTTAATTCAAGCCAATTCTTGCGGCGATTCAACTTTCCACATTTTGAAACTAACTCCCTGTCCACTCGGGCAGGACTGTGCAGACAGAACTGCCTTGCCACCAGAAACCAGGCTTTTGCAAGAGTGGATTTATTGAACCTCTTAAATGTCATAACTAACATTGAGCAACTGGCGGCTCCTGTGGGTAGAAGGCATCACATTGTGTCACAGTGATTGATACAGTATGTATGTATATATATATATATATATCTGACTGGGCTTCCGGCTGGCCATGACTTTTTTGGTTTTTTTCCCTGGAGGTGTGATTGCTCGCCTCCGTGCACTCCCCCTGAAGAGGAACACGCCTTATTCCGGATCCTATGGTAGCCGACTCAGTTTTGGACTCTTTCATCTACCTTCGGATCCTTTCCCTTACTTCCCCTGAGGCGGGCCGCTTCATTTGCTCAGGGCTGCTGGTGCTGCGGTGTTCGCCGGGGGAAGGCCTGCATCATACTCACATTGGGCGCTCATTGGCTGGTTCTTTGTTTCAGAGGCATCACGTTCTTGTGACTCTTCCCTTATCCATCTTATGCCCAGGCGAATCCGGCAAGGCCGACACCGCCCCATCTCCAGGCAGCAAGACCCAAGCCAGAAAAGCTGACTTTGTTTGTTAGATTCAAAACAAGCCTCTAGGCCGGGTTCAACTTAACTTCGTGGCTTCTCCTTCCAGCCTAAGCATCAGTCACCGCAGTGCAGCTGAAGGCTTGGGTTGTTCGCTGTCACGCTGGAGCCGCAGCAGCAAAATTCAACAGAGGCTCCGTACTTCCTCACAACTACTTTCGCTCACCCTGGGCATGCCAAGATTGCCAACTAGGTGAGTTCCGTTCCATTGCCAACATGATTATTGTTTTTGTGTTTTATAAGCTATAACTGGAACTCATTGAAGCAATCCAGCATATCAATCATGTGCCAGACTGTTCCAGGTCCTGGTAGACTTCGAAGCATTTGTGAAGTGGCTGGTTGAGTTAGAGCGCCGGAGAGGAGTGCACCTTAGATCAACTGAATGCGCTTCATAGACCTCCTTTGTGAAACTGTGTTCTTTGGGCATAAATGGCGTGGGACAGCTCAGTTTTGGTCACTGCGCTTTGCCAGGCAAATGTATAAGAACATATCGCAGCCTGGACCGGCGTGTCAGGAGCCTGATGCGCAGGCGGCGACCAACCGAGATTCCAAGTTTTTCAGTGCAGTTTTAAATAACAAAACTTTCCAAGCTTGACGACTATTGAAATATGTTCACATAACCTGGGCTGAGCACATGAGACACCTCAGCAATTGTTCAATACCTCAGCTGGGAGGTTACGAGTTCAGGGTGTGGAGCTGTGCTTTGTCCTGGCCTGTTTCCTAATGATATCGATAATTTAGACGCGAACGCCTGGCATCTATTGGAGCTTGTGTAGCTTTGGGCATGGTTTGCAGTTCATTCCCAAGGCGGCTGATCCGACAGCAAACTGCTGCAGCAAACCTGAGGCGTCTAAGTCGACAGCGCTATTGAAGACACCCTAGTATCCCTCCTAAATCCATGCGACTGAAACTGATATAACAGACATCAGGCTGAATGCCTAAAGTTCAAAGAAGTGGCCAGGATGCATTCCTCTGGCTGGCTGAGGACACTTGACTTTCCAATGTGCAAGGCAAACTAGCGGGTCTGCCATCGAATGGGTCAACGATCAAAAATCGATAGAAACTGGAAACGAGCGACAGCCATTTGATGCCCGGGTTGTGCTGGCCAAGCTTCTGTACGGACAAGGTTGTAGGCCGGTGAAGTGAACTTGTTGTAAGCGTGGCATGCTTCACATCACTGCGTGATAGCCATGTGAAGCTCACGTCATAGGTAGGGGATCACCCACGGACATGACTGGTGATCCAACGAAGAGAGTCAAGCTCTGCGCTGAAATCTGGCGCGATCAGCCAGACGTACCTGCTCGATTGATGACTTTCGCTTCCTATAATTGGCCCTGCTTTTAAGTAGAAAAAGAGACGACCAGCCATTGCATCCGTTCTGCACTCATGCATCCTCCGCACTTTGTGAAGCTTGGAGCTTCGAGCATCATTGGGTGTCGAAGCAGTTGGAACTTGTGGCACTTGGATTTCGTGAAACTTCGGAGTTTGAACTTTAGGGCTTGGACTTTCAGGACTGTTGGACTCCACTGCATAATACCTGTTTTACACAGGCAACACTTTAAACTTTCACTCAGGCCTTCTCTGGAAGTGGCGCATTCAATCCGTACGTGCTTAACCTCAAGTGTGTGTGAGTGTGTTTCACACCCTGTCCCAAAGGGCTTCTTTCATGCTGTTTGAGCTTTCTCAGCAGGGGAACTCGGCACTCTGTGACTGACCCAGTTCACGGAAGCTAGGTCTCACAAAGTGGTATATTCGCACTGATCATCCGAACACGCCTCCCTTTTTCGTGATGTTCACAAGCTGTCACACCAATTTTCCTGTAAAGCGCTAGTGAGCATGTGCTCAAACATTCTTTTTAGCCGACCGATCGCCTTTCAGTTCTGCAGGTAAAGGGCTAGTGCATTCGCGAGTTACTTTCTGAACTATGCTCGTTGAGCTTTCTATCCCACGCCATCCCATTCCACCTACCCACCTGCAAACTGCGCGAGGGCGCGCGTCATACATTACGCACACAACCACCGCGCACGGGAAGAACTCTTAACACTTCCCATACGCCATGCGCCAAGCGCCGCTACTATACTACCTTTCACAAAGCCGCCCAATCCTGGCTCCGCACGCATGGCTTTCCACCGTCACTTGCCCAGCAGGCGGACACCTTCCGGGATCACCAGTGGCACCAACATAGCCAGCAGCTTCATCAGCAACCGCGTTTCGCAGCCAGATCCCTCCGCCAACTCCAAGAACATTTGAAGCAGAAAAACAGTGGCGCAAGGGACGCGCAAACATTTCCTAATTCACTCACTACCCGGCCAACTCCTGTGCGTGACCTCCCCCGCTCTGGACACCATGCTTCAACGCCTACTACCGCAACACCCCGGTTAACTTTCCATCCCCCGGCTATGGAACCGCTTCCGCCACTACCCAGCCAACGCCCCCACGGACATCCCACTTCATGCCACCAACGACGACCTCGTCGGCTTCTTCAATTCTGTGCCCCAAGACTGCATGATCGACGCAGTCCACAGCCTTGTCGCCAAATGGCAGCTTGTCCACCAGACTACCACCATCACCGTTGACGCAACAGGTACAGGCAACCCGATACAACGCTCACACATTGGCCGCCGCCGCCGACGCCCCACCCAACGCGCATTGGACACCCACCACTGTCTCATTCGCCCTTGACGCTTGTTTTTTCCGGGCTTGCAACACCGCCTACAAATCCGAGGGGCAGGGATGGGATCGCCGTCGCTCTCATTGAACACGCCTGGCACCAATTACATTCAATCGCGCCCAGCTCCACTTCACATTAATTCGGTATGTGGATATCACCCACAACGAACACTTCTTCTCACATCCAGCCATACAATCACTGATCCACCCCAGTTTCTTCGGCGACCCAGTGGAGCTTGAACCAGTTGGTGACTTTCATCTACTGGGCTTCAATATCAACCTCTCCACCCGCACAATCACTTGCATACAACCTTCAGCCACATGCAAGTTCGGACTCATCCGAACGCGCCTCTCTTTTTCGTGATGTTCACAAGCTGTCACACCAGTTTCCCTGTAGTGAGCATGTGCTCAAACATTCTTTTCAGCCGACCGATCGCCTTTCAGTTCTGCAAGTCAAGGTCTAGATTTCAAGAAGGCAAGGGGCTAGTGCATTCGTGAGTCACTTTCTGAACTAATGCTCGGCCGCTTGAGCTTTCTATCTATCTATCTAACTATCTATCTATCTGGGTAATGAATCGACAATTGTACACATGTCACCGTTACATACGCACACATGTGTACATAATATATACAACATGTATTCAAAAACCTGTGAAGTCAATATGTGAAGACTATCTTGCACGTGCGTTGTAGGCGGACGGAGGTTAAATCGTACTCAGTGGCCGGTTAATGTTAGGTCGCCATGTTCTTACCACTAGAACATTTTGAGGCATGTTACGTTTGCATTGCGTATTCCCTTTCATTTGCAGTCCAGCGAGTTTTGAACTTGGTATGATATTCCAGTGGGCGTCGGGTTTGTTGCCCTATCACAGAAGGTTCTGCTTGTGTAAGGGCCCTTTGGTAGTTGTACAATGTTGTACAAGCAGTAGGCTTGCCAAAGTATCGTACCGGTGTTCAGACTACACTGCGCGAGACGAAATCAAAACGTGCCATTTGTATCACACAGGTTGCGCCCATGGCAAATGATGTGGGTTTGATTCAAAAACCTCAGCTGTTGGCTTGCAACTTTGTAGGAACAAATTGTTGCCTCGCTCTTAAGAGCGCGCTGCTCGTGGAAACAATGCACTGAAGCACGCATCTTGATTGCATTTGACAGAGGCATTGTTTTAGCGGCAGGGGTTCACGGGTGTTTTTCGGAGTTTGTTGATCTTCCACACTCCACCAACCTTTAGTAGTGCTGAATATCAAAGCAATCCTGTGTTTGAGTTTCGGCCTGCTCCTTCGGGTGCCACTGATGCCAGGATTGTGGCTGCTAGCTAACCCAATAGACTGAGAACGTCTATTTTCAAAAATAGACGTTTAACTTTTAACTTTTAACGTATTTTACGATAAAAATTATCGAAATTACGATATTTTTTAAACGTATTTTCCAAAATACGATAATTTTTTCGTCTATTTTTACGTTAAACAATTCGTCTATTTTTATCGAAATTTCGTTAATTTTTCATAGTTTTTCGACTATTTTTTACGTATTCGTCTATTTTTAGCGTCGAAAACTTCTAACCAACTTCTAGCAAACTTCTACTTGCAAAACTGAGGCCAACAAGTCCTCCAAGCAGTTGGACTGATCAGCTGTGATCTTCTTCTCCTTGAGGACTGTCTGTTCCCGACTAGTGCCCCTGCCACGGCAGCCACAACAGCCACTTCCATGACAACAATCAACAAAACATCAACAGCATCAAAAAAAGACTTCCACCAGGACTTCACAAAAACACTCTCAAAAAGACTCTCAACAGACTCTCAACAAGTCTCCACACCTCTCAACAAAAAGCAACTCTGTCAAACACTCTCTCAACAAAAAGGCAACCCTCTCAAAAACTCTCAACAAAAAGGCAACTCTCTCAAAAACTCTCTCAAGAAAAAGACAACTATCAAAACTGTCTCAGCTGCTCTTCCCGAAACTCTGAATGACTCTCTCAGCAAGACTGTCCACCACTGCAGCAAAACACGCCTCTCGCGACCAGCTTCGATCTTGCGAAAGCCGAAGAACTCCACCCCATCTTCGCTGTGCGTGACGTACACATCGCCACTGGAGAGCGCCTCCTGAAAGCTGGACTCGCTGTTCTGAAAGTAGAGTCCTTTCAACACGCTCTTCGGCAATCCGGTTTCGGAATCCTTGCCGTATTTGCGCTCGTAGAGCTTCTTGGCCTCTTGAAACATTGGTTTCTCCGCATTCAAAGAGTATCTGCCGTTCTTCAATTTCGTGAACAGCTGGTTGATCACCTGCGTCCTGAACTCGCGAGGACTTGGCTTCGAAAGGGCCTCGGTATCGTAGAGGTGAATGATGTGGGCCGGCAAACTCCTCCTCATCGAGTTAAATTTTATACTCTTTCCTTTGTCGCGGAGGTGAGATTCCTCCTCCTCTCCACCAGACTCTTCCTCGTTGTCGTCCTCGTCCTTCTTGGAGCTTGAAGACCTGAGGCCATGCTTCAGCTCATTGATCGCCTTGTTCATGCTTCCACTGGCAGCTGGCCTCTTCTTGGTCTCCGGCTCGCCATCCTCAGCCTCATCCTTCCTTGATGATGGTCGCTTCATGGCGGTACTCCGAAAGTCGATGCGCGCTGCTATTGGACTTTCCAGCTAACTGCTTCACGGATATGGGAACAAATTCACTTTCTCTCAACCAACAAGTGCACAAAGTTATTCAAACAGGTAAGAGCTCTCAACAATTGCAATATATACAATGTATAGAAATCATAGAAATACATATAAATTTTCTTAACTTATGAATGTTCAAAAGTAGAAGTTTACTAGAAGTTTCCATGAAACTTCTAGTTTCCACAACTAGAAGTTTACTAGAAGTTTACTAGCAGTTTACTAGAAGTTTACTAGAAGTTTTATAAGCACCATTGCATATTCACTGTAAGGGTTGTCATTTTCAACAAGTCAAACTTCTACTTTACTTCTACTTAAACTTCATGGAAACTTCTAGTAGACTTCTACTTTCATAAACACATAATGTTGAAGATTCACAAAAGTTTCAATGAAATTCAACATGAAATTCAACATGTCAATCAAATATTTCCACCACAGTAACTCTCAACTCTCTCAACAGCTTCAATAGTTCACAAATCCCTCAACGACTCTCCAAGCAGACCTGCGCAAAGAAAACAGTCAAGTGTGAAACACTCTCTCAAACAACTCACATGCACTCAACATGTTTTCCATCAACGCGCGAATGGCTCCAATCAGTTCGGCCCTTTAAAAAAGTGAGGGTTGGACGCCCAACTGTCAAACAGCAAGCCAGCTGCGAGTGTCATCATGAGCCTTGCTGCTTCTTCTTCTTGTCCTTCTTCTTTGATGCTCTCGACTTGGGCATCCGCTTGGGTCCAGGATGTGCAGGATCAGCAGGCTGGGAGGAAGAAGAAGGAGGTCCACCAATGTTCATGTTGCAGGCTGGAGGGCCAGCAAGCAACAAGGCCTGGATGCGCTCGGCAAGCAGCATTGTCTTGCAACCAATGATGGAAAAGTCTTTGCAACCAATGATGACGAAGCAGCAGCTGACATGTTGAAGCAAGGCACGGCAGCAGCAAGTTCTGATGAACAGATACACTCAAGTAGCCATTTGCTCAAAAAACAAAAGCGGTTGAAGCACCAACGGACTCACCACCACCACTGGCTATTATACACCAACCAGGAATGTGAAGAATGAATGGTGATGTTTTCAGATCCAAACTCTTGGGGCTTTGATCCGTCTTCAGAGGAAATGCATCTGACAAAGATAAACACAACAATCATCCGACATGACATGATCAGTGATTCAAATTCAAAAAAGTCCTCAATCAACAACTCTCCACAACTCTCCACAGCAAAACGCTCTCTGTCAAGAAGATGTTCACTCCCTCAACCTCTCTCCAAACCTGCCAGGATCAGTACAATTCTGCCAAATTCAACTGTCCTCTCCACATCTCTCAACATCTCTCCAAACACAAGTCTGCCAAATTCAACTGTCCTCTCTGTCTCTCGCAAGTCACTCCTCTCAACAAAAGCGCTCAACATGAACATTCCCCTATAATAAGTGTACATGGTTCCAACTTCGCAAACACAATAACAACAAACCACCACAGTACAATCTTTGAGAAATGGCTGCAAATACACAGAGAAGTGGCTGCGAATACACATGCTGACCCCAGAAATTACAAGTGCAAAACTTCTACCAAACTTCTAGTTCGCAACTAGAATTGACGTACAAAACTTCTACAAAAGTTCTATCAAAGTTCTACTTGCAAACTAGAAGTTTGATAGAAACTTCTATGAAACTTCTAGTTTGCAATCGCCGCAAAATAAGAGTATACGTTAAAAGTTTCGTCTATTTTTAACGAAATTTCGTTATTTTTTTCGATAAAATAGACGCAATTAAGATATTTCTTTTTAAACGAAATTTCCAAAAATTCGTTAACTTTTTTAACGAAAAAATTAACGAAATTAAGTTAATAGTCTATTTTTTACGTCTATTTTCGAAAATAGACGTTCTCAGTCTATTGGGTAAGCTGCAATAAGAACCCAGGGCGCAGAACAGGATTCTGTAGTGCAATGAAATGAAAGCAACTGTAGTCATCCTGAATGATAGAAAATGGGACGACCCCGAACAAAGAGGACATGGATTCTTGAACGCAAAGCAACCATGTAGCGACCCAGGTAGGTGCGAAATTGTATAGATATAGAAATTTGCTGAAGACGCAGCATAGATAATAGACACTTAAAATACTTTAAATATGATGAAAGATATGAAATTGAAGAAGAAGAAGACGAAAAAGAACAAGACGACGGGTGGCCCGAGAGCGAGACGTGTGATTGTCCAGTACTGTGGAAAAGATATCGAGAAAGAAAGAAAAAGAAAGGATGGACGTGAAGGAGTGACAGTGTGGATGTGCAGGTGTCATACAGATGTGTAGATGTATGGAGGTGGAGAGGTAGATCTGTGGATGTGAGCGTGCGAAGATGTAAATGCACAGAGACGAGAGAAAAGATATGTAGAAAGAAAGAAAGACAGGACGGATGTGAAGGAGCGACAGTGTGGATGTACAGATGTGATATAGATATGCAGATGTGTGGGTGTGGTGAGGTGGAGAGGTAGATCTGCGGATGTGAGCGTGTGAAGATGTAAATGTAGAGAGGTGAGGGGGTGTAGACCTAGATGCGTCGATGCGACGGCAATGCAACGTCAACCTTAGTTGTGCAAGTACAACGCTGAAGAGGTTCAACTAGAACTGAAGAACGTACATTTCACACTGAAGTTTCCACGAACAGGGCGACCTGAGAGTAAACGACGTCACGATCATGACAAGCGACTCGTGTATTCCAAGCGAACATCGTTTGTCATGAAGGTGAAGTACACACATACTAACGTCACGATGACTCTTTTGTGGCAGCCACTTATGAGTAAGCAAAGTAGCTAAATTTGTCAACCTCTCAAGAGAGCCGGGTGGTCGGGAGACATGACTCAGCTGCAGGGGCGCCAAAGCGGCCGCGAGAGATGACTCAGCCGCGAGAGATGACTCATCCGCGTACTCAAGTTGTACTACAAAGTCGCCAGTTCTCAGCTTCCAGCTCGACAGCTTGCTCCGCGTACTAAAGTTGTACTACAAAGTCGCCAGTTCTCATCTTCCAGCTCCCCAGATACGCCGCGTACTAAAGTTGTACTACAACTTCGCCAGTTCTCATCTTCCAGCTCCCCAGATACTCCGCGTACTAAAGTTGTAGTACAACGTCGCCAGTTCTCAGCTTCCAGCTCCACAGATTGCTCCGCGTACTAAAGTTGTACTACAAAGTCGCCAGTTCTCATCTTCCAGCTCCCCAGATTACTCCGCGTACTAAAGTTCTACTACAAAGTCGCCAGTTCTCATCTTCCAGCTCCCCAGATACTCCGCGTACTCAAGTTGTACTACAAAGTCGCCAGTTCTCAGCTTCCAGCTCCGCAGATTGCTCCGCGTACTAAAGTTGTACTACAAAGTCGCCAGTTCTCATCTTCCAGCTTGCCAGATACTCCGCGTGCTCAAGTTGTACTACAAAGTCGCCAGTTCTCAGCTTCCAGCTCCATAGATTGCTCCGCGCACTAAAGTTGTATGCGCTACAAAGTCCACAGTCCCGCAGAGGGTTGCGCCGGACAGACACAAATCGCACTCTCGCGCGCGATCTCCGCAGAGGGTTGTCCCGGGCTGTCAAATCGCACTCTCGCCTGCATTTCGCGCACTCGACACGCACGATCTCCGCAGAGGGTTGCGCCGGACAGACGCAAATCGCACTCTCGCCTGCATTTCGCGCACTCGACGCGCGCGATCTCCGCAGAGGGTTGCCCGCGACCGGGACAAATCGCAGTCTCGCCTGCATTTCGCGCACTCGACACGCGCGATCTCCGCAGAGGGTTGCCTGCGACAAAACCAAATCGCACTCTCGCCTGCATTTCGCGCACTCGACGCGCACGATCTCCGCAGAGTTGTTGCGACGGACAGAGACAAATCGCACTCTCGCCTGCATTTCGTGCGCTCGACACGCACGATCTCCGCAGACGGTTGCGTTTCGCGGTGCTCCGGCGGTACTGCACCCGGCCTTAAGAGAGAAAGTTAAGAAGAGGGAGAGGTGAAGATGTGAGATGTAGATGAGAGGTAAAGATGTGAGATGTAGATGTGAGGATGTGAAGATGAGCAGAGATGTAGATGTGCACTTGTGAATGTAGATGTGAAGATGAGCAGAGATACAGGTGAGAATGTGGATGTGCAGAGGTGAAGATGTGAAGATGTAGATGAGACGTAGTTCTTCTGCAGATGGTTTTTACGAAGAACCCTTCGCAGACGCTCTCGGGAAAAGTAAGAAGACGCAGAAGAAGAAGAATAAGACGACAAAAGTAAACATCAGCTATATACTGTATGTATTTAATAGCAAAAAAGGTCCTTTAATATATATATATATGTTTTTTTGCAAAACACTTCCAAGGACAAGGATCCTTGCAGTCAGCTCAATGGCCAAAGGGTGATGGGCCTGTGAATTTTGTGCGATTAGGGTTTGCGCAAAGGTGTACGACAGAGCAAGCAATAAAACCAAACGCTTGCCCGTGAGTCGCACCACTAGGGGCTTGGGTGTTGCCACTTGAGCTCAGCTCAACTGAGACCACAGTGCCGAAAACTCATATCCAAGAGATCCAAAGAAAAGCGACGATGTTTGGGCCTCTTTAATCAGGCTCCCCAAACGGGGTGCAAATGCCTTTTGTTCATTTTTTTTTCTCTTGAACATTCAAGTTGACATAGTAGGCAAGATATGGTGAAGTTGGAATGATGGTCACTGGAACCTCGCGCTCTTCAGCATGAACATGTTTGACCAGGAAGAGGTCACAATTTTTCTGAACGCAATGCTGGTTGAAGAGTACACTCGCAAGTGCATCACTTCACAGTACACACTCTGGGCGACACTCAACCCAGAGGTAATTTACCTTGAGTTGAATGAACTGAAAGGGAACGAACAGAAAGACCCTTGTGTTCCCTCATGTCTGCTCTAAACTTGATACTGTAATTGAAACTTGAATTGGCAGCTGAACTTCAGCAAGGCAGCAAGGTCATTCCTTTGCACAATGGCTTGGGTCATAGGCCATTAACGTGCAGGGACACACGTGACAGTGTACATTCTGAAGAGAACTGCGTCATGCATGCGAATGGCTTCGCCTGCCTTCCTTCTGGTGACACGAGACAATCAGCAAAAGTACAAGCAAACGGAGAACAATAACAACGTTTCGCTCTGATTCATATCGCAAATCGGAGAACATCTTCGTTTTTTGTACGTATGCGCCCAGCAAGCTTACCTTCCGCGTGTGCTGGGCTCACGCCAGCTACACCAGACGTTATGACTCACCCCGGCACATCTAGAAGTGCCTTAAATAAAAGTGATTGCCAGGCATGAGTTGGTGTATTCATCCTGCTGGCAATGCCGCTCAGACAGCTGACAAGAGCTGACAAGTCTCACATTGGCAATGATCATTAATCCGCAAAGCGGGAGGTGATGAGACCTATGCTTTTGTTGTGTAGGAAAGCGGATGCGTGTTGTGGAAGGTGCAACTTTTCTCTCTGGCCTGGGAAGGACCAACGCTGCTTGTGCTGACAGAGGCTGACGTGAAACATCCATGGGCCGCATCGCTGGAATTCCTTCGGAACCAGAAGAAGTGAGTGTGCTGGACGGCAAAGCTTGCTTTGCATTGGGCCTTGAGGGCTTGCCAGTTGTGAATACAATTCAAGCCGTTTTTTTGATGTTTCTTGATCACGTGGGCGCACAGTGTGCAGTGAGTATATGGCGCATATATAGCATGTTTAATTACTCAACCAGGGTGCAGTTCCAAGGTTTAGTGTTTCAGCCTTTCGATATATGCACAGGCGGGAATCGTGATAAAAGTCAAGACACGAAGAACGGGCATGGTTAAGTATCCAATCAAGCCTTGCTTTGCTTAGTCCAAGTTAAGTTACGCGTAATCTTGTGCCGGCTTAGCCCAGGCGCCAGCGATGTGCTCAGCAGGCATGGGTCAGCTGGCCAGTCGTTTTTTGTACACACTCAATGAGTTGACTGAAACCGCTTGGAGTCTGGAATTCTGTTTGATTTTTTGTTTTTTCATTTGTCCTGAGCCACACGAGGCTCGTGGAGGACGAGCCAAATGTAGCAGCGGTGTCGGGAACCAATCAAATGCAGTTGTCATTGCTGAAGGCGCTCCAGTTTCCTGCATTCGTGTCCACATGTCATTCCGCAGTGCTTTAGACCAAGCAGCGCTTGGTGCAGCAGTGAAGTAGCGGACCATGAGGCGTTGCCGCATTTGTTCTTTTTTAGCGCTTAGCGTATGCTTGAGCTGGAAGAACTGCTTCATGAACCTTCGTCGCGAGATGCTGAGTGTGGTATGTGCACTGAGTTGGACGTCGCCGGCGCTTGCAAATAGCATTATCAAGCAGATGGCAGGCGAATCCAGGAAACTGTCAGATGCTCCTTGCTTCAAGAAAGTTGGACTGTGATCTTCCTGACCTTACTTCTTTCAAGTATATGGGGTGGAGCCCGCTGTTTGTTTGTTCTTTTTCATTTTTTTAACAGATGTTAACAGGTTCATACCCATATCCCATATCAGTATTATTTTTTGGATTTTTTGGGTGTGTCGATTGCCATTTATTTGAGTTCAATAGATTGGCTGCCCAAGGCCCTCAAATCAGGAAAGCCACTTGTTGTGGACTTTGCTGCAGATTGGTGCCCTGATTGCCAACAAATGGCGCCTGTTCTTCTGGAGCTCAAGCAACAACTGGGTAGGGATGTGGAATTTGTCACATTGGATGTATCATATGCAGCGCCAGGACAAAGGGCACAAAAAGGAAGTGAAACGGTAAGAAGTCACACTGCATAAAGTCGTAGCCCCCTTTGTATATATATATATATATAACATCCCCGATGGAATAACGCCTATAAAATGGACGTACTCGAGTACCAAAACCCCATGTCATTTTATAGGGAGGGCTTGCTATAAAATGATGTGTCGACCTGGTAGCTTGTGGCCAGAATCATGTGGGCCGCACATAGATAGAGGTCTGGATGTTTTGACATTAGATTTTATAGGAGTGAGGTGGTATGAGCCCCGATTGTATAGCAGACCAAGCCTTACAATGATTAGAAGTTGGTTCTTGATCTTATATGAAGAGAGTTGTGGACAAGAAAGCTGAGATTTCATTTTATTGTGGCAGATGTTGGAAGTCAGTTGCGTGCAGAATATGTTGGTTTTTTGACGACAATCAAGCGGATTGCTTTGGACATCAGAACAATCAGACGAACGCACAGGGGAAAAAACCTGCTCATCGCTGATGCTGTCAGATTTTGCAAACCAAATCCCTATAAATTCACGTCTCAGCCCAGTTGAACCCAAACAACCCACTATAAAATCAATTCCGACCTGGGCAAAATAAAGTTAAAACTACCTCAAACCTAGATCATATTTTACGTCTTCCTTCTGCTTTCGGGCACCTTAGATGTTGAGACTTGATTTTATAGAGATTTACTGAGTCATGTCGAGTCTTCATTTTATAGTGGAGAGATTGCTTGCTGGATGTTGGGGCAGGCGATTTATGGCTATAAAATCGCGCTCCCCAGACCTACCGGTAATTCCAAGGGGGATTATATTATAACTAAGAGTTGTGTTAAGAAAACAGTGACGCAACGACCGAACACCTTTGAACTTAAGTTTAAAGAGTCTTTAGTGGGCACAGATTGGACAGGATCTACACTCCCCCGAAGTCTTGAGAATGACTTGTGGGCAAAGAGGTTTGGAGTGGATGGCCTGCCGCATGTAGCATTCATCGACTCGCAGCACCGTGTGCAAACTGCGCTAGTTGGAGACGTACCTCCAAATGTTGTTCGCGCTGATGTTGAGGCGCTGATTAAAGGAGGCGAACTACCATTTATTATGTATGATGCGTTTCAAGGGCAGAACAATATTCTGCAATAAGCGAACTCAACAGCTGTGTCCACTGCACTTGTGAAGACAAAGAACTGGCTTTGGAGAAGGGCAAAGGGGTGCAAAAGCGGCTGGCTAAAAGTATCAGTCGAGCTTGGGCAAGGATATCTCGCAGGCCCAAGGGCAGAAAACTGTGGCAGCGCCCATGGGTTGGTTGACTGAATATTGTATATGATATGTTATACAGGAGTTCTACAAAGCATACTCAGCTTGTACAGTGTATTATCAAAATCACATTCTCCTTTGTTGCTCCTGGCGTGACAAGGTTTGGCGGTCCTCAACTATCTCAGACTGTTGTCGATGGCCTGAGCTGTTGGGGACCTCAACGCATCTCAGGATTTCCAAGGGACTTGTGATACAGTTTGCTTCTAGGTGACAGTCCCGAGGCTGCTTTGGAGAGGTGTGGGCCCAAGAATGCAAGTTAAAGTTCAAATTCTGGCCTAATATTGCCAGGATTGATTAATCTCATTCTGAACACTTGTTGACGTTTGAGAGGCTCGCTGTTCTGGCAGAGGTTTGGTACCTAGACTAGATTGGCCAGTGTTACATAGTCAAGCAGCATATTGGCACATCTCTAGCGTATGTATGCCAAATTTGCCAAATAGCATGGTGTCGCACAATGTCTCACCACTATTTTTTCTTTCTAGATGACGCGCCTGTTTGCGTTCGTAGATCTCGTCCAGTACCGTCATTGAGATGTAGTAGTGAATCCTGTTTGCTTACAGCAGGATAGGTCAGGTATGGTGGGGTGCATGACGGCAAGGCTTCTCCACAACCAAGCCCACAAATGTTGGAACCATTCAAGGCAGGGTACTTGGCGCCTGAAACTCGCAAGAAAGTGCTTCCTGTCATGTCATGAAGGCACTTCGGGTGCTAAGCTTTTGATTGCAAGAACTCACATGAATTCTGGTTGTCCTTATCATTTTGTGCAGTTCTTTTTTTTGCTTTACGTTCAACTGAACCTGGAAAGTCTTCGGATTTGTGCCCAGTCCAGGCCCAGATGATCCTGCCTGCTGAGTTTGGCGACGTAGGCAGGTTGCAGATCACCATCAAGAATCAAGAGTAATATCTTGCATATATACATATATACAGTATATAATTGGTCACCCCCTCCCCAGATCTACCTTTTCCTGCTTTTCAGCTTTTCTACCTTTTCTTGCATTCCTCCATTTCAGCTCTTCCGCTTTTCATACTTCTCAGCTCTTCTCCCCTGTGTGGAATAGAATTTTGCATTATTTTGACACGATCTTAAGAAGGGCGTTAAAAAGAAATCAACTAAAGAGCTTAAAGCGAAATCAACAGGTTGCAAAAGGAATTAAGGGGATAGCAACAACATAAACAAAAGGAATTCAATAGGCAATCGATAATATCAACAAGGAATGATAAAGAACAATGAAAAGTGTAGACGTGATTGCAGGTGATGTCTTTATTAAAGCCAAACAGGGCACGGTGTAACGTTATATTTTGAAAGTTCTCTAGTGTAATGGGCAACCCCCTTGTGGAAGATAATTTTGCAATAGTTTGATAGCACTTAGTAAGGGCTTAAATAAAACAGTAACAAAGAACTTAAAAGGTAAGCAGCAAAAATCAAAACGATTTCAAAGGGAGTCGACAAGAACCAACAGGAATTCCATAGGTAGTCCAAAAAATAACAAGGAGTTTCCAGGAAGAGAATTCACAAGTAAAAGTAATGAACAATGAAACGCATAGACATCATTGCAGGGGAGGTTTTCTTCCAATCGTCGTACACGAGCAAAGTGCAAACAATATTTGAGAGGGTGATATCATTGAACAATGAGACACACGTAGACTTTAATCCAGGGGGTTGGTATTAAAGCGAAGGTTTTCGTATTTAATATTTCTAGTGTACTGGGCTAACCTCTTTGTGGAATATACACTATGAGCTAATGAGTTAGGGCTTTCACAGCACATCGAAATGGACAACTCCTATCCCGTGAGGGAAAAGCTGTTTCGACCGTTGTGCGGCTAGCTAACTCCTGTCTCATCATGAGATAGGACTTAGCCTGTACTTGGATAGGTGTTTCTAATTGTTTCTAATCACTTCAGGGTGTCCTCGCACAAGTTTGTGATGCGTTAGTCTTTTAAATATCTGACGCCACAATAATTACTGTATGTTGAACACCAATTTTCCGGACATCGAGCATCCGGATGCAAAAATGTTGCTGGCATGACCAAACGGAAGGGAAGAGGCGGACATCGTTGGCATGCTGAACCGAAGCGTTCCAAATATGTTCAGTTTGCCGTTCTCTCAAACCTGATGAGTTGGGAGTTCGTTCGGTGGTGGCCTGCTTACCTCCTATCTCGTTTCCTTTTGACGAGTGTATCTTCCAAAATACCTTAGTTTTAAGTTTATGTGTTAGGAGGGAGCAAGTCCCAACCCATTTTCCCCTAATATATATATATATATATGTTTTGACTTTTCATTGTTTGATAAGAGATGCACCCCCGAAAAGTACCATGGACCCGGGTCGAATGGGACCCTGAAAGATTGTGGTTTTCAGGGTCCATGTTAGTTTTCCACAGGGTAGTTAGTAGTAAGGGCATTGAAAGAACTTGATTAAGCAATTTCAAAGAATCAAGAGGAAAGGAATTCAATAGGTAATCAATAGAAACAAAAGGGATCAGGAGTTTAAGAAAGGTAGTTCACAAATAAAACTAAAGAAACATGAAAAGGGTAGACGTGATTGCAGAGGATGTTATTATTGAAGCTAAACAGGGCAGACACTATTGTAGGGGGTTATATTTTTTCAAGATTTCTAGTGTACTGGGCTAACCCAAGCTGATTAAGTAGCTTAAAGGCAAACCAAAAGGAATCAGAAGGAACAACATAATGTAAACGGACATCTTTTGAATTCAAAAGGGTTTGCGATAAAGACCTGCGTTTTTAGTTCTAAATACACAAAAAAATACTTACTCCGTCGTGCTAACACCATACTACTTCTTTAGCATTTTTAACCAAGAACAAGACAACCAAAAACCAAGACACCAAAGATTTTTTCGAGACGTTTGGTTTCAGGACTATTCTTTTCGTTTTTTTTTGGTACTTCCTTTATTTATTAGTTTTGAATTAAACGACATAATCAACAAAAGCATATTTTTGCAAACTTGAGACTAAGAACAAATACGCAAAAACAAAAGAAAAAACACGAAAACAAGCCCTTAAACCACACTTTTCGGAAAATCATTGTGTTGTTTGTTTTTTGTTTTTGCCCAGCAATGCTTAAAATAGAAGGTTTAAATAGTTTTTTAGTATATATGTTGCAAACAATCATCAAACACAGCAGGTTTTGGCATTTTTCCCCAAACAGTTTACTGTTGGGGTTCTATCTTAGGAAAAAAGAGCTGGCCACACTCACTGGCCGCGCCCTTGAACTCTGTGGCTGGGCTCTGTGGCTGGGCTCTGTGTCCAGGCCTTGTCCTCCTCTTGTCCTCTGTGGCTGGGCTCAGTTCTGTGTCAGGGCCTTGTCCTCCTCTTGTCCTTGTGGCTGGGCTCTGTGTCCAGGCCTTGTCCTCCTCTTGTCCTCTGTGGCTGGGCTCTGTGGCTGGGCCTTCTTGTCCTCCTCTTGTCCTTGTCTTGGCCGCGCACCCGAACTCTGTGCTGGTCTCTGTGGCCCGGCTTACTGGAGAGGAGTGTGGCCGAACAAGTAGCGATGTCAATGCCGACAAAAAGTCATTGATGAAGCAGTTTGCTCTTGGGGTGAAGGTAGGGCGTACCAAGAAATCGATTTTTGATTAATATTGGTCTAAGCGAACCGTTTTGAAGCTGTTTGGGGTCTCTGCTTGTATAGTTTAACATGCATTGGTAATGGCCAGCTAGTGAGGGTCTATTCAAAAAAATATATATATATACTCGTTTGCTGTGATCCACTTGTTTCATTTGATCCACAAACGGACAGCTGCAGTGTAGCTTTGCAGTTTATTGACGAGCTGTGTGCAAGAGAAGCAGTATATTTATACACATATGCAGGTCCCGACGCCTTCTTCCCATCGCTCCTCTTGACACAGCAAGGTGGGCCGAGAAGAACAACTGATCGGACAGTCGTTTCTACTTCCAGCCCTTTCCTCCATTTCTTAGAGATGAGACGGAATAGTAAGCCAGTGATCATTCAGGTGCATCTTCGGAGCTGAATAAGTACCTTGTGGAGTGCGGTCCCAATATGACGGGGGCAAATGTAGCATCAACCCGCTGAGCCACTGTCAAAGCCTATGGCCTATGGCGGTGCACGAATACTGCACTAAGTAAGGGAACACGCATACCAAAGTTATCCAAAGTTTGCGACGCAATGTGGCCATTTTGCAATCGCAGCTTTTTTGGTGCTTGTGCACGAGAGCAATAAACTCACTATTCAATGACCCTGTCACAAACTGTCACATTATTCGGCCACCATGAGGCCTGTACAAGTAACCTTCCAATCCTTGAGTTGGAGAAGTCAGTGTCCTGACCCCCTTATATACTGTAGAAGTATGCGCTGTACATATGCAATTTTTTCTTTTTGTTCTATGCTAGAACCTAGCGTCTGCCTTGTGGATGTGAAGGATTGGTAGTGGACACACTAACTCCCCTCTATTTTTTGAATCAAGAAGGTGGACTCCCAGCGTTGTTCTTCCCTGCAGGGAGGGGGGTCGGAATGGAGTCAGCCGCTGCCTTTGAGAAGGGAATAGAAGGGAGACCTCCCTGGAATGTGTCAGGTTGACACGCAATCAATCCTGCAGGATCGACTGCTTCTTTCAATCAGGATCAGATCTCATAGGGAGCGAAAATAACTATATACAGTATCAGTATCCAATCAAAAAGTAATTGTCTAATCAGTGGTCCCCTGGTCGTTTGGTGCCCTGGTCCTTGGTTCCCTTGGTCCTTTGGTCCTGAGGCGCCTTGGTCCTTCACATCATTCACCAGATTTTGAAAAAAACCGTTCATTGTCCTCTCATGTAAGGGTGATGTGTTTCTTTTATGTGTCAACGTGGCTTCCATTGACAGGCATTCGTGGAACCAACCCAATAGGCATAGCGCTCGCTAAAAAAGGACAACGCCTTGCCTGTACACGCCGACAACGATTCGCGTGTACGCGCGCATTTTAGAAGCCTTGGAGGCCTTCACCATCATGGCTGCACACCACACTCCAACTGAGTGTGGGCTAATTGAGGGTCAAATAATTGTGGACAGCCCTTATTGTGGGCCATCTAGATCAAAAGAAAAGATCAAAATCATTGGATCAATTATGTAAAAACTAAGAACAGGATCAAACAAAAATAGTCCTGAGTAGGTCCCCTGGTCCATTGGTCCCCTGGTCCTTTGGTCCACTGGTCCTGTACTCCTTTCATCTGCTGGTCCTTTGGTGCCCTAGCCTTTGGTCCGCTGGTCACTTTCCTGGTCCTTGTCCATGCCTCGTGGTCCATTGGCTTTTCATCAGGCAATGGGGTGTGTAGTTTTCGATGGTAAACTATTTTGTGGTGCCTTTTGAGTCTGATGACTTTTGATGTTTGGTTCGCTCTGCGGGGGAGGCGGTGCGCCCTCCCCCCAACCTGCCTCAAGCGCCACAAACTTTGCACTACTTTTGCCAATGCGCTGGCCCTGCCGCGACAGATATTCTAAAGGTCACCCAGGCGCCCATCGCTCACGCAAAATACTCGCCAAAGTAATTAAAATGTTGTGTGGCAAGCGGTTGCAGCATCCTTTCATTGTCTGGTGGATGAGCCCCTCCTTGATGGGGCAATAGGATGTGTAGTCGTCGACGATGATGTATTTTGTGGTGCCTTCAGCGTGCAACAACAACAACACTAGACGACGAGTGGCCCGAAAGCATTTTTCATCACGTAGGAAGTCAGAGTTTGAGTTATCTGTTAAGTGTTCAGTGTGAAGTGTTAAGTCGAGTGAGTTGAGGCAGTGTGTGGGTCTCTGTGTGTGTATCTATGTCTGTGTGTGTATGAGGTGTGTCCGAGTAAGTTGAGGCAGTGCGTGGGTCTCTGTGTGTGATGTGTGTGTATGAGTCCCTGTCTGTGTGTGTCTGCTGCTGGTGAAGGTCTTCACTGTAGATATAGTGAAGGAAGTAGCTCGCAGGCCTCCCAAACCCCCCACCGGCGGCCAAGCGGTGAGAGCATTTGAGCTGCTGGTAAAAGGAAATAGTAAAGCACACAGCTCTTCTCTTCGCTACTCCAGTTGCACTACAGAGTCGCCAGGTCTCATCTTCCAGCTCCCCAGCTACTCCGCGTCCTAGAGTTCCACTTCTCGTCTTCCAGCTCCCCAGATACTGAGTGTGCTAAGGTTGTACTACAGATCCCCAGATACTCCGCGTACTAAAGTTGTACTACCAAGTCGCCAGTTCTCATCTTCCAGCTCCCC